TTTTTTGGCTAAATTTATTTTAATCTAGAACTGTCTCCCCCCCCCCCCCCGCCCCCTTTTTCAGACCATTAATTTATTGAAGAAACTGGGTCATTTATCCTCTAGAATGCCTCACCTTTGGGGTTTGTCTGATTGCTTCATGGTGTCATTCGGCATATTCCTCCAACTCCAGTCTTTTCCTATAAACTGAAATTTGGACATACAGGCTCCATTTGATTTTTGTGGCAGTAAATCTTAGGTGATAGAGTAATTCATATTTCCATCACATAACGTTTTGTTTTGCCACTTAGTGATGTTAAGATTGATTGTTGGATTCAGGTTTCAAGTCCACTAATCAATCAATAAACATATGTTTTGGCAATTCTGAATTACATTTTGAATAAATGTCTCAAGTTAATATTTATTGCTATGAAAAGTTTCATATTTTCTATTGGATAGTTCTTCAGTTATTTAGGAACATTCAGAAAGTATTTAAGAGCCCCTCTGTGCCAAGTACTGTGTGAGGTGCAGAATGCTGAACGAGATATTTTCCCTGCCCTTGGATTCACAATTTTGGGGGAATCTCCTTCATCATTTGAACAGTAACTTAGGGCTTTATGGCATTTGTTCACAGACAAATGTGTATGTTATGTTACTGGCTTTCAACAAAGCAAGCCCTTTTGTCAAGCTAGAGAAGCAACTACAACCTTTTTTTCCGCATTAATCTTATACTTGTCTACTTGTAATTTTTAATTCATTAAAACTTTTAAATCATTTTAGGGAATATTTATTAGACCTTGGGGAAGTAAAAATGTTTTCAGGAAACTTAAATTCTGGGTATTTTGAAACTTACGGTATTTAGGATTCAAATACAGTTTTATAAATTTTTTTAGTGGCAAGTGTAGAGTAGAATTGTATTATTAGTGTTCTAGACTGTAAGTCAGGTCATGGAAGGAGAGCTGCCTGATGTTCAGTGCTCATTTGGATTGTTTGCAGTTTTTGGCTGTTATGAATAATGCTGTTATAAACATCCACATATAAATTTTGGTTTTAGTCATATGTTTTCACTTCTCTTGGGTATATATCCAGGAGTAGAATTGTTTGGTCATGTGGTAACTCTGTGTAACTGCTATGGTATTCATGAAGTTAATTGCCTACGAAATGACAGCTCCTGCTCAGCTCACATTTAAGGGTCTCCACCTGATGGTTGTAACTTAACCTATGTTTCCATAATCATCCATTACTGCTTCCCTACATGTAGCCTAAGCTCCAGACAAACCTAGTAGCTCAGTATTCCTAAAATGTGTTTCCCATTTTCTCATTTCCATGGCCAGTCGGTATCGTATCTGTTGCTTATTGGAAATGCCTTCTTCTTTAATCAAGTTTTTCCTAACCATTTCTCCCTGTCTTCCATTGTTCTCCCTCCTCAACCCTCAGAATACTTTATTTTCTTGTGATTCATAATACTTTTTGCCCTGTATCACTATCATTCATGGGTTTTGTTTTATTCCTTATAGGCCTGTGCTATCCAATACAGTAGCTATCACCTACATGGGACTGTTTAATTAATTAAACTAAAAATTTATTTACCGTATTTGGACAGCACATACATACATTTTCATCCTAGCAGAAAGTTCTGTTGGGCAGTGCTTTTCTAGATTGTAAACTCAGAAGGATTGTGATTTGTTCTTTTGTTTTCTTTGTGGCCTTTGCATGATGTGTTGCCTATCTTAAATTCAATTAAGAAAATAAAAGTAGATATTGGCACAGAACAGAGAAATAGACTTTGGGAAGTATTAGCTTCTTGAGAGATGATAGTTGAACCAGAGAAGTAGATGAAATTTTTGAGGGCCTCTACAGTTCCTAGGTTGTAGACGTGCCAAGAATGGGTTAAAAGTGCAAGGGAATGGGGATTGGTAGTTGCCAATTTGTTTATTTCTAACCTGTGGGATAAAACACACAGTTAATTCTCCTGTTTAATTGCTATGCCATCCTATCTTTGTTTCCTCTTTACTCTGGTCTGTAGACCTGTGCTGTCCAATATGATAAAGTTAAACAATCAGATCCTACACTGGCCACATTTTTCAGGTGCTTGATGCTCAGTTATGGCAAGTGGCTGCCATTTGGACAACAGAGATAGAAGAGAGCATCATCATTGCAGAAAGTCCTGTTGACCAGGGTGTAATGGCAAATTTGGCATCTGGCTTTGGTTTAGAAGTTTTAAAAAATTACACAGTTGTTTAGGTAATGGATGTCCTAATCACTGATGTTGCCAATTTATTCCTAATTCAGATCAGAACTTGTTAAAGAGGTGAAGGATGTGACTTGATATTATTCTGTGTGTACTGGACTGCTTGGTTGTAAATGTTCTAAGTGAGTCAGGTGAGCTGGAGATTTGAAGTGGTTTGTTTTTGTATTTTGTCTTTGTAATAGAATTTGATACCTAGAGTGTTATAAAGTGCCTGAGTGTTTTAGCAAGTCAGCAGGTGGTTGCACCTGTTTTGCACCAGACATTGCTATTGGTGCTGGAGATGCCACAGTAAAGAGGGCCAAGTGCCTGCTCTCTGCTTGCCTAGGGCTACATTCTAATTGGGGATGTAGGCAAGGCAGACACTAAGCAAATGAATAAATGCACATTTTATGTGTGTGTGTGTGTGTGTGTGTGGTTTTTTGTTTGTTTAATTTTAAAATGACTGTTTTTTCAAGCTGTTTTTAGGTTCCCAGCAAAATTTAGCAGAAAGTATAGAGTTCCCATATACCCCCTGCCCCCACACATGGTTTTTATTTTAAAGATCACCTTAATCTTTACAACCACATAAGTCAGTAAGTGGTTTAACAGTTGAGGGATAGCAAAAGCTCACAGTTTAGGAACACACTGGGTGATAATATTTAGAGGGAACTTGCTGGAGATACTAATGAGAATCTTATTTCTGTTGGGGACGGGATAGAACCATGGTTGTAGCTGTGCAAGTTCTTGAACTTTGAAGGAAAAAAAAATTGTGAATGATGGAACGTTGAATGGGTTAATAGAGTTGCTGGGCTGTAGCTAATTTGTCTTTTTTAGGGGGGAAAAATATATATATATATATATTTAACAGAAGTTATCTGAGAAATACAGGAGAGTGCAAAAGGAACACTAAACTCACCCCATGTAGAGACAGTCACTGTTCATATTTTTAGGTATTTCCTTTTGCACTGGAGGTGCACATGCTTATAAATTTGGGATCATATTGCATAGTTCAGTGTTGTACCCTCTTTTTGTTCACTTAACGTTGTATCATTCTTATGTTTTTAAACACCTTTTAAAAAGCATAATATTTCATGCTCTGGATATATCTTGGTTTACTTAACTATTTTTCTTCCTTTTTAAAGGACATTTCAGTTATTTGTACAGTTTTTTCCTTGTTTTAAGTGGAGATATTTTCCCCATAGCTTCTGATGGACTGAAGAGGGTTGTAAAGGAAAGTTTATAATGTCCTGGTTGGGCACCCATTAGGACATTGCACATTCCTTTTCTGTTCTCTGCTGGTTGGGATCAGCATGAAATACATCGTTTTCTTATAGAAAGGGCTCTGGCTACCTGCTCTTTTGGGACTGATGCTGGAGAAAAATCTGAAAACAAAAGTGCTTGGCTAAATCACTTTTTTTTCCCTTTTAGTTCTTGAAATCATGAATCCTGTTTATAGCCCTGGATCTTCCGGGGTTCCCTATGCAAATGCCAAAGGAATTGGTTATCCAGGTAAGCAAGTAAGATTTTGTTTTCATTATTGAACTTGAACATTTGGTATCTTTCCATGTCACCAAGAATGCTTTCAGTTGACAAATCTAATTCAAAGTGGCTTAGACAAGGAGGAAAGTACATGGAACTGAAAAATCAAGGGATAGGACTAGCTTCGGTCAAAGCTTGATCTGGTGGTTCTATCAGTTGGGTCTAGGATCTAGTTTCTATACCTGCTGGTCCCAGTTTCACTTCCTCAGTACTGTCTTAGTGTTGGTCACAGGTCCCACTTCTCCTGTTGTCTCTGTGAGGTTTATCCCTTCCCAGCAGTCCCTTACTAGGAGCCTTTTTATCTCTGCCCTACGGGAAGGCCCAGTGGAGCTTCTTGTTCCCTTTTTCAAACCAGTCCTGGGGTTTCTTCTAATTGAACTCAGCTTCCATCCCTGGGCCAGGGAGAGGATTCTACTAATTAACCCAGCTGGAACCATATTCCTTACTGTTAGTGGAGTCAGCTAGTCAAACATGGCTGTGAGGGAGGTGGTGAAGCAAGAATTGGGGGAATAGGAGCCAGTTGGTCAAAAGTAGCAAATGGTCATCCTAATTGGTGACTTAGAATAAGGAGTAACTATTTGTAATGTTACAGTTTCATTTTGGGTTTTGATAATATGGTGAAAGAGATAACCCTAAAACCTTATTGCTACAAAACCCTTAGAAAATAGAGTAAAATGTTTTACAAATGTATAACTGAACTTGGAGGAGGTAAGAGAAATTTCTTGGGCTACATATGAAAGCAGTGTGAAACCCAGCTCATTTGGTCATAGAGCTAATGCTGTACCTGTCCTGGGGGCATTTGCTATTTGTGGATTTTGACAACCCGCATAGGAATGGACAGTGAGGCTTAGGACCTCGTGAGACAGGGAGTGGGAGTGGGTCCACTCATCAATCAGTCTGGTCTCTCAAGAGAGTGAGACTCCCAGCGAAGAGGTTGACTGAATAGTCCATTGACCGGCCGGCAGGAAGCTTGTGTCTGCTTGGGCTCTGGGAAGGAAGAAATCTTTCCTGAGAATTAGTGATCATTCAGGGATGTTTGGGGCTCTAGTTTGTATTACTTGTACTTCCTAGAGGATCTAGAAGTTGAGAAACTAACATGAAATAGTCTCCAGGCTGCATTGCCCCTAAAGCACCTAATAGCAGCAAATGCAGAACTGCTGTAGAGGCATGTGTCCCAGGTAAAGCACGGATGTCATGCATAAAGTAAGAGTCACCAGTCGTGACAGACTGCAGGGATAGAGCTGTCAGGTAGAAACCATGTCACATAAACAAGTTTGGAGTAACTGTAAATGTGAAAGAAAGAATCAAAAATGTAAGAGGAGAACAAGATGCTGGGGGGAAAGAATTACCTGGAACTTAAAGGAATGAAAAAAAAGATGGCATTTGAACACAATTCAGGTTAATTTGCACATAAAGTACTGCTAAACTGAGAACCAGAGTACAACATAAGGAAAGGGGGGAAATAGGAGACCAGTTAAGATGTTTGAGGAGAATTCAGAGCTCCAGAAGGACTGAGTAGAGAGACTGGAAGAAAAGGAGTGACAGAATTTTCCATAATTGATGAAAGATAGTTTAGTGATGAGATCTGCTGTTTTTGAAGTATTAATACTAGTTTTAAACAGAATGTGGAAAAGCTAAAGAAGATTCTGAGTGGACCTGGAGCTGTGGTGTTAGCATTACCTGATCGTCTCAGTATTATAAACTCTGACTGCTTCTGTGCAAGGCTGTGAGGATGCTGGGATATGCGCATTTTGTTCCTGCTACTTGGATGGTCAAAGGTGGGGATTGGCAAACTCCATATAAAGGTGCAGGTAGTAAATATTTTAGGCTTTGTCAGTCATAACGTCTCTGTCACGAGCACTCAACTTTGCCTTTGTAGCAGAAGAGCAGTCTTAGGCAATGCTACGTGTGGTGTGTTCTAATAAAACTGAGAACAGGCAGTGGGTTGGGGTTGTATTTGCTCAGTGGGATGTTGTTTGCTGATCCCTGGTCAAGAGAATGGAAGTAAAACACTTTTCTTACTTTTTATTTGGTCTAAAAATTACATTTAGAAGAAAATTCTGTGACTTTAAAACAATTTTAAGTTTTGTATACTTTTGTATTGTTTCTCCTTACTTTATTTCTTTATAGTTATCTTGCCAGTTTTCTTGATTTTGATGTTTTTAGTCTTTCTGATTTTTACTGTCTGTATCAGTGAGGGATGGCTCAGTGCAGGAACTGGTAACTGCTCCAGGTCATTTAAACCAGGGGTTTAAATATATGGAATTATATGCCTGCAAAAGCTGACAAGATGTTATGAAAAAAGAAAGTTTTATGCCATTTTATACTCTTACTGGCAAATGGAGAGTCTTGTCTACAACTTTTCTTTTTATTTACATTTAATGGGAAAATGAATTCTTCCTAAAAATACTTTGTCTTTTAATTGTAGCAGTGTAATTACTCATATAATTAGGTTTATGTCTACCACCGTACTGTTGTTTTTTGATAACGCCTGTTTTTGTTCATTTTCTATTTCTTGCCTTCTTTTGGATTCACCAAATATTTTTATTCAATTCCCCTTATCAACTTTTTAAAAATTCTTTTTACTCTTCCTGTAGTGGTAAAAAGATGACACCATTTTTACTCCCACTTCCTCCTTTTGTATTATTGTTGCCATACTTTGAGACATTACTGTTTTATTTTGTGCAATCAACAGTCATTGTATTAACTCACACATTTACTGTATTCAGTGTTCATCGTTGCTTTTATTTTTGTCTGGGGTCATTTCCCTTTATCTGAATAACTCCCTTTAATTTTTTTAATTTTTAATTTTTTGTAACTGCAGGTTTGCTAGTGAATTCCATTTTTGTGAAAATGTCTTTATTTTGCTTTCATTTGGAGGAGCATATTTTTGCTGAATGTGTTTGTTTCCTGTAGCTGCTGTAACAAATTACCACAAACTTGGTGGGTTAAAACAACAGAAATTTATTCCCTGACAGTGCTGGAAGCCAGAGCTGCACTCCCTCTGGAGGCTCTAGGGCATGATTGCCTTTTCCAGTTTCTGGCCGCTGTCAGCATTCCTCAACATGTGGCCTTGTGGCTGCATCACTCCTATATCTGCCTCCATGATCACATCCTTCTTCCTCTTCCGTGTGTTTTTTTATAAGGACCCTTGTCATTGGATTTAGGGCCCACATGGGTAATCCAGGATGATCTCATCTCAAGAGCCTTAAGTTAATCACATCTGCAAAGGCCATTTTTCCAAATAAGGTCACATTCACAGGTACCAGAGATTCGATTGTGGTATCTATTGTCTTTTGGTTTCTGTCAGAATAATTTTTGCTTCTTTGAAATTAATGTGTCCCTTCTCTACCTCTTCCTCATCCCTCTGTGCCCCTTGCCGCTTTTAAAATATCTTTGTTTTTACCATTATGTGACTAGATATAATTTTCTTTGTGTTTATCTTGCATAGTGTTCAGAGAGCTTCTAGAGTCTGGGTTCATTTCTTCCAGCAGTAGCAGTAGCTCTTCAAATATTTTTTCTGATCTTTTCCCTGCTCTCCTAGGACTCCATTTATGAGTATGTTTAGACCATTTTACTCAGTCTCTTGCAGCCTTTTTTGTGTTTTCTGGTTTTTTCTCTATAAGCTTTAATATAAGTAGTTTATACTGATCTCTTCCATTTCATTAATCCTGCTAATTCTGCTGTAATTTGCTTTGAAACTCATGTACCGAATCAGGTCTCATCATCTGTTTTCTTCATCTTCTGTTTTCTCCAGTATACTACTGGGTTATTTTAAAGACCTTGTTGGCTGACTGCGGTCTGTGGATCACTTGTGTGTCTGTTTTTATTATCAGTTTGTCTTTTTCCTTTGTGATGTGGTCATGTCTCTTGGTATGATGTGTGTGATCTTAGTGATGTGGTCATGTCTCTTGGTATGCCTGGTGTTTTTCATTGAATTGGAAACTGTGGGTGGTCCAGTTGATGTCTTCTTTAGCTAGGCAGATAGTGTGCTGCTGATTGATCTTCCTAATCCACCTAGGGGCTGAGCTTAGATGCATTTCAATTTTGCCCTTATTTGGGAGTGCTGGGCTTCCAGCAGCCTGGCATGCTCTGCAAAGCCCATCCCACTAGTGGATCTTAAACTCTGATCTTTGTCTCTTCAGCACCAGGGGAGTAGGGAAAACTCTTGCACTTCAGTGATTTTTGGCTTTTGCTTTTTAAGCCTTCTGCTGGGATAGCTTTGAAATTTGTCATATGTCTTAAAGGGGGCTTCAGCCAGTTTTGAAGCCCTTCAAAGATCCGGTTTTATCACTGCAGCTCTGCAGAACCATCAGAACCCATGTTTGTTTCTCTGTCCTTGAGCTGTGGCCTTCTGTCCAGGGAGAAGAACCTGGACTCAGCTTTTTGCCCATGCTGAGAATTGACAAGTGCCCCCAGGCTAGCAGGTACATTTGTTCTAATATTTCCTTTGTTACACAAAAGGTAGTGGACCCTGCGATGGAGTTAGGAATACAAACATTTTGAGGGAGGATAACACTTAAAAAAGTCAAGGGGGAGGAAGCAGAATTGGATAGGGGGAGCCTCAGACTGTGATGCACATTTGCCAAAATCTCAGCCAGCTCTCTGGGGAGCTCTGGGGCTAGGATTGGCAGTTGGAGGAGGCCCACAGTAGGCAGAAACAGTCTGGAAGGCAGTCACCACTGCTGGAGGCTGTTGGCCCGGGTACTCCTTAAGGCTGAACAACAGCAGGTTCTTTCTGGAAGAGAGAGACACAGGCAGTGTTGTTATGGCTTTGTCAACGTAACGTATGCTAGGATCACTCCGTATCATTTCATAGTGGTTTTCCTTGTTCTGTTTTGTTTTTTTACATAATACAGCTGTATAACCCTCCGTCTTGGGGGGTTTCCGTAGTTTATGCAACCAGTTTCCTTTTGGTGGGTATTGGGGTTGTTTGAAGTGTTTGCTAGTCTAAGAATGCTGTAGTGAATAGACTTATGCTTATGTTGATTGTGTTTGTGGAAATTATCTTCAGTGTAGATTCTTAGATGTGGGATTGCTGGGTCAGAGGTAAATGCATATGTAATTTTTAAGATACTGCTGAGTTGTTTCCGTAGGTTTTTTTCATGTTTTGTGCTATTGCCATATGTATGTAAGACTGTTGTTTCCCCACAGCCTTGCCAACAAAGTGTGCTGTCCAGCTTTGGGAATTTTTTGCTAGTCCCATGTGAGAAATGGTGTCAGTATAGTTGTATATTGAAGTTCTATTTTTCCATGTCTGGTTTTTTTTTTTTTTTTTTTTTTTTTTTTTCTAGTGGGTTTTTTTCCTTCTAGTTTTAAAAGCTATTTATATATTAAGTGTATTAGCCCTTCATCTAAATAATTTGCAAATATTTTCTTCTAATCTATCTTTTTACTTAGTTTATGATTTTGTTTTTGTTTGTTTGCTGTTCTGAAGTTTTTAGTTTGTTTTCATAAAGTGATCAGTCTCATAAAAAGGATTTAGGATTACTCCAATTCCTTGCTGTAGATGAGGGTGCAGGGCATTTTTAAGAAGACCCTGCTAGTGCCAGGAAGATCAACAGAATAGGAAGAAACAGTGGTTCTCAACCCTATTGCTTAGAACCCTGCAAATTAGGTTTCTGGAGAGAATAAGAAAAAAAAAAAAAAGAGGCTGGTGCCACCCTCGAGACCAACTAAAGCAGAGTGTTGGTGGGGGTCCTTGCAAAGCTGCCTCTGCGGGGTTTTGTGCAACCCAGGTAGAAACTGTTGGAGGAAAGAGAGTATGGTGAGCCGTGCTGCGGCTTGGGTCGAGGTGGTAGCAGAGCAAGTGGAATGTAGCTCATGGGTTGGGGGGGATGAGGGTACAGAAGGAGCAGAGGCCCCCAGGAGAATGGGCAACTTTGACTCCCATACCAGAGACCAGGTTTGCGGTGACATCCTGTTGCTGGTGGTTAATCGTGCTGTTTTAAATACATGTTGTGTCTGTTCTCTGTTTCATTTTAGAGCATGTTAACTCATTGTTAGAGGTTGGGATAGGAAGTGCCAAGCAAACATAACAGTAGTTCTCCAGGAACCCTTAAACATAAGCTCTAGCAAGCAAGTACAGAGCAGACGATTCCCTCTCAGAATTTACTGGTAGAGTTAATGGGAAGAGATGAGGAAATTTGGAATTTGTAGAAATTCTTGCAGAGGGCTGTAGGGTATGATCTAGGTCAGTGGTGTTTCACACTTTTTTTTTTTTAAACAGTGAAGCCATTTGAAAAAGAAAAAATTGTTTCCCTGGTCTCTAAGCTATATGACAGCAGCTCCTGTGGGTGAATTGAGGGCCGCTCCAGAGCCTACTTGGCCTTCCTCTGCTCACAGTTACCTCTGAGGAATCTCTCAGGGGCTATGAAACACTGATGGAAAACCACTGTCCTGGTCTCATCCAAAATGAGTGAACTTGATAAAACATTTAACCACCACACACTGTTCTCTGACTAACTGGAGAGGACAGATAGGAATCCAGGAGAGAAACCCAGAATAGCTTCTGCTGAGGAAGAGGAGGATCAGTTTCAAGTCTGAGGAAAGCAGCTTTGAAGCAGTGGATTTGTGAGAGCTGAGAACTCTAGGCACTCATAGGGATTCCCCGGGGGCTGGTGGGGTCGGAGACTCCTGTTTCCACACACACCCATAAAACACCTTGGGGAAGGGACAGGGCAACAAAACAAGAGCACCCAGGTTTGGGGGACTGCAGGGATTCAAGGAGGGAGCTTTACTCAGAACCTTTAGCTGAAATCCAGCCACAGAGGTTTTCTTTGGAATTGCACTCAGGCCTTCCTGCTTTGAGTTTTTACCTCACCCTTAGTGTTTGCTTGCTGTGGTTATTGTTATTTCCACAGATCCTTAGGCTTTTTTTTTTTTTTTTTTTCCTTTTTTTTTTTTTCCGTGTCTGGCAACGGATCACAACCCTCGGTGTTGCTCCTGCGCCTCGCCCAGCCAGTGAGCGGGAACCGGTCTGTATGTGGGATCCGAACCCTCGCCGGGAGCACTGCCGTGCTTCCCAAGCGGCGCACTTATCCAGTGCGCCACCGGGCCGGCCCCTAATTGCCACAGATCCTTAACAGATCAAGATACCACCTTCAGTTTCCCAGTCCAAGTGCCCTAGAAGACACCTTCTCTGGGCCTCCTCGATAGTTTCTTTTGAAGACTGCTGTTCTCTTTCAACTTTATTTATAGGTGAGGGAAGAGAAGAATAGAGAAGTTACAGCTTCTTACAACTAGTCGCGACAGCAGTCAAGGCTAGCAAACCTGGGTCATCCATGCTCTGAATATAAAGGCGGCTTTCTAAAGCCCTAGCTGTCACACAAGTGATACCTCCTGCACTGTGAACCAGGGTGTCATGCAGAAGGATGGCAGGAGCCTCATGGTTCCCAGGGCTCTCAGGAGGGCCAGAGTGGGTGACTGAGATCCTCTCCACTGGTGGATACCTGGGACCAAGATTCTGACTCAATGTCTTTTTTGATGTTTCTGTTGTATTCACGTTATGAATTATTAGTGGTTGTAATTTAGTCTTCCTAATGATTCCTCATTTGTATGAATAAAGATCAGCTTGCTTGCACATGGATGGTGATTGCATTTTTCCCATTTCTGTGTGTCTGCAACACCAGTTAGAGTCCCTTCAAGTAAGAAGACTGAAGTTTATTAACATTTACAGCTTGGGTTTGACTAGCTACCCCAAATTGGGGAAGTTGGGGATTAGAATTTCAGAATATGAACAAGCCTGAAATGAATTTAGAAGTTTTAAACAGTGACCTAGAACAAAAAATATTAGCTTTTAAATAAAAACTTACAGTAATATGGGATATGTCTTCGGATACAGTGAGATTGAATGACCTTAAAGCACCTTTTTGTTGTTCACTGGTATTAGCAGAAAGTGGCTCTTGAGATCAAGCTAGATTTGAATCTTGATTCTTCTACAGGACCTACCACATGATACTCTTAGCACTGTGACTCTTGCTAAGTAATAAATTATGTGATTAGAGTCTGTAATAATACTGTCAGAAGTGTTGGGGGTTTCTTGACTTCAGCTTGTGGTCTCTTTTTTTTTTTTTGCATTATTACTATAACTTTGCTGTTCTTTGTCCTTTTTGAGACCGGCTGCACAGCGCTCAGCCAGTGAGCTCTGTGAGCACTGGCCAGCCCTATATAGGATCCGAACCTGCGGCCTCGGGGCTCCCAGCGCTGCACTCTCCCGAATGAGCCACTGGGCCCGCCCGATAACTTTGCTGTTCTTGACAGTAGATTTCTAACTCAGTTTTTGCTGAATTTTTCCAGTTGTAGAAAGTTGTCAGCATTTAATCATAGGTTTAAAAGACATGATTGTGACCTGTCAAAATTTTGAGAAAAGAAGGAACTAGAGACAAACTATTGGACACACGTAGTGCTCTAGGGGCTCCTTAGGCCAGTCTGTGGAGTTCCGGTGAAGAAAGCAAGACAGTGGGTTTGTGGGAGCTCTGGTTGTAAAATCACATCACTATTTCAGTTGATGACGTCAGATTTTTCTGTGTTTTTCTTCAGCTGGTTTTCCCATGGGCTATGCCGCAGCAGCACCTGCCTATTCTCCTAACATGTATCCTGGAGCAAATCCTACCTTCCAAACAGGTATGTGCTGGCTGAGGAAATGCTTTGTACATGTAGCTGAGGGAGAAGGTAAAGGGGGTGGATTTTCTTAAGAGTGGGTATAGATTTAGGATTTGGGGTTGAGTTGATTTCTTGGTTCATTAATTTAGCCTGTTGATAAGTGCAGTAAAAGCTTAATTCTTATTGCATGTAAAGCTTTAGATATTTTGTTTCTCTTGTCCACCCACAGCACATTCTAATCTCTAGGTTATAGATAACTCCTTGTGCCAGAACAGCTGTTAATGAAATAGTGTTGACTACTGGAAACTAAAGACCATTTCTCCATACTAAGAGGTGGAACTTCTATGATGCTAACATTTTTAGAAATAATTTCTGATTTCTCTATAGGACTTTAGCACTTTGAGAATCTTATTTTCCATTTAAGGTTCATGAGCATATTTTTTAGATTTTAGAAATCACTGTAAAATTGAAAGTGGAATTAGTCTGGGTGTGAATCTTGTGAAGATTGCTTATTTAGTGGGATTTCCTCCTGTGAGCCTACAATCTCAGGTGTTAGCTCCTTTTGGACTTTGTGATTTCCCTGCAGCAGCGATGGCCCATGCTCTGACCTGAGAGCTTGATTTGGCCTCCACAGGAAGTACCTTACTCATGGGACTGCTGGGGCATTTCTTTGTCCCTCGGAACACTGGCTGACACAGTTAACTTTGACAGAAGAGGAGATGGCAACAGTGTTCTTTCCCCAATTTCTTCCTGTTTTTTTAATCATAAAATTCTGCTTTAATATTTCTGCCCTTGTGTCCGTCTTCTCATTGCCGTTTCCACTGTGTCTACCTCTGTTCATCTCTTAGCTCATACCCAGAGAAGAACCTACTTGCCTAGGTCTTTTGCTCTCAGGCTTTCTCCCCAGGTTCGTGCTCCTGCCCACTTAAGCAGAGTAATGTTCCCAAGTGAAGTTTTCCTTAACTTTCATGACAATAAGACAATGAAGCTAAGAGTGTTGACTTTGAATCCCTATTCTCTGCCACATCGGCGTATTGTCTCTTCAGAATGGTTTTTCTTTTGGGTTCTTGCCTAGTTTCTTTTCACATTCTTTCTCTTCCACTTCAACTAGGCTCCCTGCTACTTTGTTCCTGTCTTTTGTTCTGTTACAGAACACACCTTCCCTGGAATCACCAGTTACTCACCTGGTTCTTTAATGGCTAATGGAAGCCACCCTTATCCTTTTGTAAAACATGTCAAATTGTTTAACTTTCATTTTTTTTAAATCAGCTCTCTTGAGGTATACTTGACACAATAAACTGCACATATTTATTTATTTAATTTTTTCCCCCCCTTTTTGTCTTTTTTCGTGTCCGGCAACGGACCGCAACCCTCAGTGTCGCGCCCACACCGGACCGGGACCGGCAACGGGATCGCAACCCTCGGTGCTGCGCCCGCCCCTCGCTCAGCCAGTGAGCGGGAACCGGTCTGTATGTGGGATCCGAACCCTCGGCGGGAGCGCCGCCATGCTCCCAAGTGGCGCACTGTAGCAGTGCGCCACCGGGCCGGCCCAAAACTGCACATATTTAAAGTGTATAGTTTGATAGTCTTTGCTATAATGTATACCACCATCACAATCAGGAGTGAACATATCCATGATTGGCAGAAGTTTTCTCCTGCCCATTTCTGATGTCTCCCAGAGTCCAAGACACTGGTCTGCTTTTTCTCACTATAAATGAGTTTGTATTTTCTAAAATTTTACATTAGTGGAATCACACAGAATGTGCTTTCATTTTTTGGACTGGCTTATTTCATTCAGAATAGTTATTTTGACATCCAAGTTGTAATATATATCAGTAGTCCATTCCTTTTTTATTGTTAGGTAGTATTCCATTGAATGGAAATACCACAGTTTGCTTGTCCATTTGCCAAGTGATGAACATTTGGGCTATTTATAGTTTTTCACTATTACAAATGAAACTGCTATGAACATTCATGTACAGGTGTTTGTGTGGACATATACTGTCATTTCTTTTGAGTAAACAGAGAGGAGTGGAGTGGCTAGTTCTTATGGCAGGTGTATGTTTAACGTTGTAAGAAATTGCCAAACTGTTTTCCAGAGTGGTTATACTGTTTTACATTCCCACCAGCAGTGTATGATAGTTCCAGGTTTTCCACATCCTTGAAAACTCTTGGTCAGTCTTTTTAATTTTAGCCATCCTAGTGGATGTGTAGTGATATTTCATTGTAGTTTTAATTTGAACTTTTGTAACAACTAGTAATGTCGAGTATCTTTTCATGTGCTTATTTTCTATCTGTATGTTTTTGGTAAAGAGTTTGTGTACATCTTTTCCTGTATGTCAGTTACTTAGTTTGTTTTCTTTTGAGTTTTAAGAGTTCTTTATCAGATATATGATTTACAAGTATTTTCTCCCAGTCTGTGGCTTTTTTCATTCTCTTAATGGTGTCTCCAAAAGAGCAAAAGTTTAAGTTTGATGAGGTTCAGTTTATCCTTTTGTACTTTTATGGATCATGTTTTTGGTATCATATCTAAGAAATCTGCTTAACCCAATTTCACAAAGATTTTTTTTTTCTTCTAGAAGTTTTAAAATTTTAGGTTTTACATTTAGGTCTGTGATCCACTTGGGGTTAATTTTTGTGTATGGTGGTAAGAATGGATTGAAGTGTATTTCTTGCATAAGTATTAATGCTACCTACATGTGATCGTGCTGTAGATCACCATAAAATAAGTTACTGTTGTAGAATTTTCAAAGGCAGCCCACTTTTACTCATGTTCTTCATGGAGTACAAGTTATTGTGAAAATGTACTAAAAACTTCCAACTGTTTTTTATTGTTTTACAAAAAGAGCCTCGCTTATTTGAGGCTGACAAAGCTATTCTTGTGAAAAGTATGCAGCACTCCTCGAAGAGGAAGCTTGGTGTTTGGAGGTTTGGTGCTGCCGACTGCTGTCCATTGGGCTGTGCTGTGGAACAGGTGTCATGCATCTTCTCTCACATCTCTCCTTCTCATAGGGAGATGAGTCCTTTCTTACCTCTTTTCTAAGACTGCTCTCAAGTTGTTCCTCTGATCTAGAAGCTGGGGCAGGCAGGTGGGAACGGCAGCTGCCCGAAGGGCCTGCCTTGCTTAAAGGCATCCATTGATTGGTAGCAGACAGACTGCAGGCCCAGCAGTGCCAGTCTGATTTTTTTTTTTTTTTTTTTTTGTCTTTTGTCCTTTTTTCCGTGTCCGGCAACGGATCGCAACCCTCAGTGTTGCCCCCGTACCGGACCGGGGACCGGCAACGGGATTGCAAGCCTCGGTGTCGCTCCCGCGCCTCGCTCAGCCAGTGAGCGGGAGCCGGTCTGTATGTGGGATCCGAACCCTCGGACGGGAGCGCCGCCGCGCTTCCCAGGCGGCGCACTATCCGGTGCGCCACCGGGCCGGCCCCACCAGTCTGATTTTTTTTTTTTTTTGTCTTTTGTCCTTTTTTCCGTGTCCGGCAACGGATCGCAACCCTCAGTGTTGCCCCCGTACCGGACCGGGGACCGGCAACGGGATTGCAAGCCTCGGTGTCGCTCCCGCGCCTCGCTCAGCCAGTGAGCGGGAGCCGGTCTGTATGTGGGATCCGAACCCTCGGACGGGAGCGCCGCCGCGCTTCCCAAGCGGCGCACTATCCAGTGCGCCACCGGGCCGGCCCCACCAGTCTGATTTTTTAGGAGAAGCTGGGAATAAAGATTTTTATGTCAAGTTGTTGAATGAAAAAGTAAAAGACACTTGGAAGGTCCCGCTAGTATCCCACAAGTGCTGACGGCTACCTGACCTGAGTCTGGCCCACAGTTGTGCACACGTCTTTTTCTGGGATCCTCTCAGTGTTTTTGTGTCTTGAATTTTTAAATCTCATCTTTCAGTGGGTCTTTCCCCTTACCTGATGAGTAAGTCATCGTCATCACAGTAAAAAAATTAAAACAAAATGTTTTTCTTCATTCCTGCTACTTTTTTCATCTACCTTCTGGTTCTCTTACCACCATATTTGTAGATGAAGCTGATCCGTGGTGTAGGCGCAATATATGTGGAGCTTCCAAAGTGCTTTTTCAATTCTAATGCTGCTTATTTCTTAGCCCTCTTCCATATGTGACAAAGAGAGGGCTCACAGAACCTTGCCGAAGGATTCCATTACTCAGAATCTGGAAATGGAGAAGGTGTCATTCATTTTTGTCCTCCTAAACAAGTGTAGTAGGCTGCCTGCACGTGCAACCAGAGTGGGCTGTCCTTTTTTGGAATCAGAGCTTGGACTGTGGAATTAGTTAGATGTGGCTTAATTCCTGGCAGTGTCACTCCTGGGGAAGTTGTTTAACTTTACTCTTGGCATTTGTGTGATAAATAAATAGACCCCCTTGTCTGTGTTATTGGAGGATTCCAGCCCCAGGTCTGCCATCAGGCACAGATGTTAACAGGGCAGACTGAGGTATTCAGCCAGGCATATTTAGGCCTCCTGTTCTGGTCCTGCTTACACTCATGTGCACCTCTAACTAATATTTGCAGTGATGATCTGAAATTGTCAAGAAAACATTCTTTTCTTTGTAATAACCTCTACATAAGAGGTGGTTTAGATAGTACATCAGCACATATTTTTAAAAGATGCAGATGTTGCTAAGAGTGATGAAATAGCTTCCATGGTGCTACCCTGTGTGGCTGGGTGGGTGGGCAAATTGGGGGAACTTCTTTAGAGGATAATTTGACAGGATATTAGAAAGAAGCTTGAAAATGAATCCTTTTACCCACTTCCAGGAATGTATCCTAAGTCAGTAATCAAATATGTAAACCTTTATGTACAAGTGCGGACATATTAAATAACAAAGTAATGGTTTAATTAAACTGTTTATCACACAGTAGCTATGTGGTCTTAGTGCTTGTTTATGAAGGATATTTAACGTTAAGTGAAAATGCTTTGTGGTACACATTTTTTTCTTTTTGAACTCAGAATTATGTTCATGAAGTGAAACCCGTTTTTGTTTAAAAATTAAATTTCATGCATGGCAGC